CGCACTAGACTGCATGTGGTATGAAATGGCCCTAAAAGAAAATCGGACAAAAGATTGTCCAGTATTCCTAGATTGTTGGCAGCAAGTTGAATCCAAGGATGATACTAATTGTATGACAATTCTCGAACGACATAGGCATTATTTGCCTTGACATAGGAACGTTGTAGCATAGATTAGGAAGTGGTATAATGTACGTGTAATCCTGTAGTTTTGTTCACTAATGAGAAAAAATTTGAAGTTTGCCCCTTCAGATATTTTTGTCTGGAAGGTCTGAATCGGCTGGTGAAAGTTATGTGCAAACGATCGTTTGAAATATGGAATTTTCTGTTTGATTTTCATATAGTTAAAAGAAAAGAAAGGAAAATAGGCTACACACCCATAAGGCTATTCCTCATATAAACTATTTATTCACAAAATTTTAAGTAAAAATACAATGCATCACAGATATGTTGCAAACCCTGCCACACTGTCCCCTAGGATCCCCCCCAAAACAAGATGGCCAATCCCACCCCAACCTGAGACAGGCTGATTTTCATATAATGTGTGGCCCCCATAAAGCTGAACTCCAGGGCCCTCGTAACCCTCTTGTATTGAAATGTATTGTTGCTGTATTGTCTCCCTTTATTTTGTAAAGCGCTGAGTACACTGTTGGCGCTATATAAATCCTGTATAATAATAATATAATAATTCCAGCTAATACATTTTAACCCACGGTTCACACTATGTAGGCTGGTTGCAGGAATCACATCTGTTCCCTCACCCACAACCATTCACAGTCGAATCACGCTTCCCTTACAAGATACGCTGGGCTGCTAGCCCTCAGCACATTTGCGGGTGCAGCAACCGCAGGGAAAACGCATTTTCAAAATGGTGCATGCATCTTTTTTGTGCAGAAACGCAGGCACAGCAGGGCACAGTAGTGTAAACCAAGGATTAGCAGATACAGCAAGAGTGTTTTGTTTCTTTTGGAATAAAGGTTTTAAAAGCTGACTATTATAAGCACCCTTGTCAGTATTGAATGGTTTGTCTCAACCCACAAACAGCCACTTTTGCTGGCCAGCATGGTCTGTTAAAGGAAGATAAAAAAAATAACAGACTTAATGGCTGTATCACCAGGTGAAAATAAAGGGAAAATCCTTAAAAAGAGAAATAATGCAGACACCACATCTAAGAATTGGTGAGCACCAATATAATACATTTTTCTTTTGAGGTTTAAAGGTAGATTGAGTCCTTTAATTGGTTTCTCTTACTTTTGGAGGACTTATGCGGTCAAATTCCTGTGCCTAAAGTTTAGTAAGCCTGCTGTGGCCATTACGAAGTGTCCCATTTTCCATGCTGAATCCCCAATTCATTTTTTACTATACAGGAGGAGAGAGAAGACTGTAACAGTGACGTCAGTGTAACAATCTCTCGGTGTCTGTGATATCCTTAAAAAAATATTACACGTGCTCCCAAAATGTAATCCACCTTCATGGAGATATTTCTTTTAATCCGTGAAAACCTCACAAAAAGAAAACTCAATATAGTGCATTATCCCACATAAATATACAAAATATCATATAATCACCCTGTGGTTAATCCGTGAAAACCTCAAAAAAAGAAAACTCAATATAGTGCATTATCCCACATAAATATACAAAATATCATCATATAATCACCCTGTGGTTACTGACGTGTCACCCCACTTAGTGTCCACATCTAAATGGCTGTATAAAACACCCTTACCCTATCAAAACTTGTCTCTAGCTCTCAATATCATATACTCCAAAAACCGTGCTCCAATCCGTCCTTTTCGTTCTTCAATTTTTCCTCCAAAAAAACAATAATACTGCAATATCCTTTCGGATACAAAAAAAGTGCTTCCCTAATATTCAATTACATTTCAAATGTAAATGTGAAATGCACTCCCCGTCACCTTACACATGATGCACCTTACCGGACTAAACACTTTCTTAAGCATAAAAGGCTCTCCTCATCCGACCATCCCTGCTCTGTTCACTCTTCATGTGGTAGCATAATGAGGGTCAAAACAAAATCTTTATAGTGTAGTATGTCATAATAAAAGGGATTTAGTTTAATAAAGTTATGCTTACAATAAACAAATGCAAAAACAACTTTTTTACTCCTCCTTTATAGGGAAAAATGAATCCTCTGAAAAATGTCAATCAGTGAATGAAAAAACCTTAGTCAACCCAGTTTTTACGTCTATGCCCGACGTCACCTCCTTGACGTGCCCCGTCAGCCCCGACCTTCTCACAAAGGTTGTGATATTGCACTATTATTGTTTTTTTTTTGGAGGAAAAATTGAAGAAAGAAAAGGACGGATTGGAGCACGGTTTTTGGAGTATATGATATTGAGAGCTAGAGACAAGTTTTGATAGGGTAAGGGTGTTTGATAGGGTAAGGGTGTTTTATACAGCCATTTAGATGTGGACACTAAGTGGGGCGACATGTCAGTAACCACAGGGTGATTATATGATATTTTGTATATTTATGTGGGATAATGCACTATATTGAGTTTTCTTTTTTTGAGGTTTTCACGGATTAAAAGAAATATCTCCATGAAGGTGGATTACATTTTGGGAGCACGTATAATATTTTTGAGGAAATCACAGACGCCGAGAGATTGTTACACTGACTTTTTGAACTTTCAGGGGAGAAAGTGGAACTTTTCGTGTCTAGGGAGATTCAGAAATATTTGGAGTGATTATTGTTAGGTTAATCGCATTTGTGTGATTGTAACAGTGATGGGACTATGTCAGACTGTAAGGTGGGCAGGAAAAGAACTGGAAACTATTAACAGGAAAATCTCACCCCTTGACAGGAGATAAAGAGAGCCAGAAGGTGACTTGAGTCCATCTAATGCTGAACCATCCTTTTGAGGTTGACTAACCCTTTAACTAAAACCTTTTCCCATCATAATACTGTAAGGGTTAAAATTATCAGTGCATGAAATGGCTTGGATGTGCATGTAAGTAATCAGGAAACAAGACACATGGACTGATAGGAGCACGCACTAAATACTTCTGATTGTGCCAAATCACACATAGCTTGGGGTTCTCCTTTTCAGATCTGTTTGCTCTCTAAGCAGTTGCCGTCCCAGTACATACTTCACACATAAATCCATTTACTGGTCTGCAATGTTAGCGTGACTCATACAAAATGTGTTGGCTTTGGGCTCATTCATTGTACACATTTGTCACAAAGCTCTCTAGATTTCACAATGTCTGGTAACGCCAATACACTAGGTGTACTGTGTCCGAGCCATTTACATCTCTTAATCAGTTCCCTCCTAACTAGAGCGATAACATCTTCTGTATAAATCAATTGAAAAGTCACATCGCATGGGAAAGGATCATAAAATGGAAAATAAACATTTGCCTACTTACACAAATCGTTACTTTGCCTGAAATGGGAATTACAAATGTGTAAGTGTAGGTCCCTCTTTAATAGCACCTTGTCACCTAACCATTCATTTCAACTAAAAGCTTACCATGAGATTAGATGTATGTTTAAAATGGGCCTTCACTCAAAAACTCATTGTATCCTTGCAACACTCCACAATCTAAACAATCTTTGTAATTTACCCTTTATCCTGTTCTTCCTCCAGCCCACCAAGGGTAGGGTGACCAGAAATCACAGGTTTCCAGGGACAGTTGCCAATTTTAAGGGGCTGTCCCCAGGAAAAAAAAAAAAATCCTGATTTCATCCCCCATTAAAATAATGCGTCTTTTGAGCTTTAATAATAGCGTCCCCAGCTCAAGGGGCTGCAGTGTAAACCATCTTAGCATAATTTCTGTGATTGACCTGGAGGCAAGAGAGGGGTGTGCTTACTCCTGGCTGTGTTCAAGGTTGCTGATGATGTCACATGCTAATGTCACATGGTCTTCCCAGTCCCTCCCCTCTTGGCTTATGCAGACTTTGATACTCGTGGCTATGGATGTGGATTATTTGCTGCCTTGCCTTTGCTTTTAACAGTGACCTGCAGTGCACAGCTGGGTCTGCACTCTTGACATACAGCAAAGTAGGCTTGGTGTTATTAAACAATATCCCTTTAAGCCACTCCCACTGTCTGCACAATTTGACCACACCCATTATTTTATGTGGCATGCTTTGCTCCACCTGCTCCACCCCTGTCCCACCCACAATAAAAGTGGGCATGGTCAGTAAGGTATCATTTTGAAAATCTGGTCACCTTAGCCGAGGCAAGAATGACTCTCCTGAAGCCTCCACAGGATATGCACAACATATATTCCAGAGGCAGCTTCTGCACTGCAGCTGGAGGAGGATGGGCCTGATGGCTCATCATCAGGGAACAGCTGCAACAACCAGCTACAGACATCTGGCTCCTGACATAAGGAAGAAAAGCACAGGAACTGGAAGTGGAGTGGTGGGTTACTGCAGGACAATGCTGGTTTCTCTGAGCATGGGAGTATGTTTATTGTGGGTAACCACACCAAAAAATGTAAGTGGGGATCTGCTATTGGTATATATTGCCTGGACACAGGATCACATGGTGTTTTACCATGTGATTGCTGTGTCCAATCACAGCAATCACATAGTAAAAAAACAGAAAGTGAAACTAAAGATCGCTTGTCTCTGTCAGTGTGAGAGCAGAGAGAAGCGATCCTGCAGCCTGTGAGTGTACAGCAGCCTGTCAGGTTGCTTGTACACTCACAAACTGCAGTGCCAGCCTGCTACAGTGTCCCTAATCAGTGCCCCTTTGTCTCTGATCACTACCCCAGTGTAGGGACAATAAATAATGTAGCCAGCCCTGTCACCTGTCCCAGTGCGCACAAATACACCACTGTACACCATACCTGCCATACCCCAAACCAAAGCCCTGACCACCACCATATGCCATACCCAACACCCTGATCACAGCCATATGCCATACCAGCACCCCGATCACTGCCCTATCCAAAAACCAGCATTCTGATCACCGCTATATACCCTATACCAGCATCGTGATAGCTGCAGTGCCCCACACCAGGACCCTGATCACTGCCATTCCCCATACCAGTATCCTGATTATCCTATATGACAAACCAGCATCCTGATCACCGTCACACCCCATACCAGTGTCGTGATCACCTCCATATCCCATATCAATGTCTTGATCACCACCATACGCCATACAACCGTTCTGATCATCGCCATACCCCATACCAGCATCCTGATCACCTCCATACCCCATACCAGCTTTCTGATTACCACCATACACCATACCAGTGTACTGATCACCGCTATACCCCATACCAGCATCCTGATCATCACCATACCCCATACCAGCTTCCTGATCACCCCCATACCACATACCAGCGTCCTGATCACCCCCATACTACATACCAGCGTTCTGATCACCTCCACACCACATACCGGTGTCCTGATCACCCCCATACTACATACCAGTATCCTGATCACCACCATATCAGTGTCCTGATCACTGCCATACCCCTTGCCAATATCCTGATCACCGCCATACCCCAAACCAGTGTCCTGATCAATGCCATCTGGAAATTTAGGGTCTAAACTGATCAATTTTCAAATACTTCGTATATCCCGTAGCTTGTAGACTCTATAGCGTTCACACAGACTAAATAATATACAGTTTTGGGTTATTTACCCCAACAATGTAGCAGAATACATTTTGGCCTAAATTTAGGAAGAAAAATTATTTATTTGCAAAATTTTATAACAAAAACGAAGGAAAAAATTATTTATTTATTTATTACTATTTTGAAGCAGAGCTAAGCTCTACAAATAACGCTTTTTCCATAATCCATCATCTGCAAGGTCACTCGTCAGAGCTGACATCTCATCCCCAGCTGCTGGAATTTAGGCCGTCTTGATTTGCAAGCGTAGGATGACGTAACTCCCAAATATGCGCAAGAGTTTATTCATCCCAGCAACAACCACTGTGCCAAGAAAGTACCCTAAACTGTGCATGTGTGGCTCAGTGTACATTCTACAGAAGACTGAGCAGGCAGGTACGCTTGTCTTATTGCAGAAGAGACATAGTAATAAAGTGCCTGATCGTAAATTTTATTCACACCTTAGTTACACTTTAAAGGGTTCCTCCACTTTCATGGGAAAAAAATTAGAAAATAAAACAAAAATGATTTTATATATATATATATATATATATATATATATATATATCAAATAATATAATAACAATTGTAATTGAGTGTTGGTAAAAATTACCTTTCCTCTTCTATCTGCAGCGCTGTAATTTTCTGTAAAATTCATTGTCATATGGCTACCTGGAGACGTTCTATACACAGTTGGTATACGAAACCCCTCCATATATGTAATTTCCTGCTTGTGTGATTGGCTCACTGATTTTCCCTCAAGTCTGCACTAAGATACAAGTTAGATTTTAGGCATCCACTGCTACAAACATTTCACTTTTGGTGAGAAACTCCCAAAACATTTCTAAAAGTGATGCCGACACTGAAACTTTCCTGATTAGAAGACTGCAAGTGCATCAGCTGAGTAAATAATAAAAAAGCCACCCCCATTCAGAATTAGAATCCAAAGACACAAAGTAGAACAAACAAGAGCAGAAACAGGTAGGAATCTGCAACTAAGTTTGTTAATATTCCTGCAATGTACAGTACAATGATCACCCAGATGGTATTGTTTTTTTTCTGAACAAAAGTGCAGTTACTCTTTAGTAAGAGTTTAATTTTTCTGAATTCCTGTTTTCCATTCATGCGTAGACAGTCATTACAGACAGATTGCGTTCTATTTCCTGTCTTGGGTTATAGCTTGACCTCCTACCACTTTCAGCCTATATCTCAACCTAAGTCCATTAGTAAACAAGCCTTATGCCCAGATATTACCTGGAATTATGAAGGGATTATACTGATGAAGACATAAGATAGAAACAATGATGTACTTATAAAGAGATTACCTTTCCCTTTCTATTTTATTCATATGTGATAAGCTCTCTGAATTTGAGTATATGTCAAAAATAGGGCAAATATGTCCCATGCTCCATATTGTATTTGTGATATGGTTAGCTGCATAAGCCCTGGTTCACACGGGATCCGACCTTGAAATCGTGCAACTTCACTTGAAGTTGCACGATTTCAAAGTCGGATGGCGATCGCATGCACAGATGTCTATGCAAGGTGCACCCTAAATCGGAGTAAAGTAGTGCAGGAATTACTATTCTAATCAGTGCGACTCTGGCGAAGTCGGAGTCACACAGATTAGAACAGTTCCATTGCCAATTATTGCATGCAATTTGTCATTGACTTGTATGGTTAAATCACATGACAAGTTGCATCAGTGCGAATGGGGGCTTAGAGTCAGATATTTGTCTTTTTTCATTGTTTTCTACAAATAACTATCAGAATTTCCATTAAAGCGCTATATAAACAGATATTTTTACAGAAGTCATGTCTTGTGGTTACCTTGTGCCTAAGCAAAACTGCTGGTACTCAGTGCGATCTCCACAATACTGCACAGTCACAAGGATCAGTTTATGGTCTTTACTCACAAGTCCCCAGGACAGATGCCACCTTGCAACTTCCTTCGGTAACAGACCCTCAGGCTCTGGAACCCACCTGGGGAGAAGGAACCCAACTCTCCAGTGCCTAAGACTATTTATCACCTTTCCAGTCCCCTTCTGGATATTCCTCTCTAGGGATTGGCTGGAGGAGGATACATATTCAGGATGGTTATTTGAATCTCTTGCCCTAAGCTCTGGAAGCTTCTTCCAGAGGCAGGGGGAAGTAAGCAAACTCCCAGCCCTTGAGACCCTTGTCAGGCCAGAACAAATGATTATTGCTTCTTTGATTACAGAAGCAGCCAAAAACTAGATTTACCTATCATCCTATGCTAGGAGGATGCTACATCAACATCCTTTTTTGTCAGCAGTGTAAAAAGTAAAAGTACATAGGGAAGTATGTATTACTTACAACCTGTGCTGAAAAAAATGACTAAAAATAGTACTTTGGTCTTTATTCAGATGAGATTTAGCAAATTACATATTGAAGCATCTTTTAAACATCTGTTTCTGGAATAATTTAAAATTAGCAACAAGAAAATGAGGAAAGGGAACTAGTGCTTTTATTAGCAATGGTTGGTGAATCAGTCATATTCCGAATGAGTCAAATGAATGTTTGTTTTTTGGCTATGTTTGTTATTAGGGCTTTGTGAACATTGCTAGTCGAATTACTTATAAAAAAAAGTTTTGGGTTTCAGCAAACACACTATAACCACAACACATGGGAATATCTGCACGGCTCCTAGCAATCAGCCTGCTATTCATTTACCTTTCTTTCCCGTAAACACATTATTAGTGTTGGCACTTTCTTGTTCTAGAGTTCCAGACCACAATGACAGCCAGTGGAGAGACTTAAAATATACACATAATTCCAAAAATATTAAACATTTTTTGGGTTTGTTTGCCTGATGGTGGTGAAGAACATCTAGAACAATACAACGGGCTTCAATCGTTTCTTCTTTTGTGGATGTAGTGATCTCTAGCTCCATCGAGGCCATTTTTCAATTTTCCCTGTATTGGGTGGAAAAGCATAAGGACTATGTTAAAATGAGTTGCATTTACCTGGCCTCCAGAGGGTTAGTTGAAGTCTAAGTTTTGTTAGTTTTTTTTTTTTTTAAATCAGCACAAAGGATGTTACTGTTACATTTGATATGAAGTGTCCCTTGTGCTGTTGGCTGGTCCCTTAGTTAAAGTCTCTGCTTTACCTGCATTATTACCAAAAAAAAGAAAGGTCAAACCCATTATTAAGGGTTAGATTATAGAAGTGCACCCCTTCCAGCAAAAAAAGAAATGATCCTTTTAAAAAAGAAAAATAAAGTGGTACCAATGGCAGGTGTCCATTCTCTTCAGATCCTGGTCAGTCTGCTGTTTTATAGAGACACTGAGGTTGATTTACTAAAGGCCAATAAGCTGCTCACCCTTAAATGCTTTCACATGGAGGGAGTCACATGAACACTTCCCATACCCCAAATGCCCACTTCATTGGAGCAAAGGAATTAGGACTTCTGAAATGAAAGCTTGCTCTGGATTGGATGGAGATCACCTTTGGTAATACAACACAACAGTGGCTACAGAAATGCATGAATTGTAAACCTTTCATAATTTTGCTATCACATGTTAATGTATTGGTTTCTATCCACTAGGAGATGAAGATCTGTACACTTATTTGGCCTACACTTGCAGAAGAACTCTCATGGGATATCTCATTTATTCTTCTGGATTTTCTGATCCCTGGTTTGAGTATTGTTGTCAGCTATACCAAAATCTATAAGGTACTTAGCTATAAAGAGTCTATCATGTTCTTTTACTATTTGCGGAAGCTTAAGTAAGACAACTTTACTATTTCATGTATTGCTAAAACAGCAGAAAGGACTTCTAACAGTACTCTAATGTGCTGAACAAGTCCCAGCCACTTCCCCTTTAATTGTTGCACACACTTCTTAGCTAATTGGTGGACATGTAGTCATTCCTCCACAAAAGCATCAGTGATAATGTAAGCAGCCAGTTGATTTTTAAAAAACATTAAAGTTAGACAGACCACAGGAACATTTTAGTTTATGAGGAAACAAATTTAGCATTTAAAGAGGAACTTCAGTCCCCATTTTTGTTGGCTCAGGCCCCCATCCATTACTGCTATTATGGCGTGTGTACAGATATGCTGATGGCCTCTGCCCAGATGTCAGGTTCTGACAGAGCCCTCTGGCACATCAGAGCTTGTGCAGGATTTCCCCGTACATGTGCAAAGACAGCAAAGTTTTGGGATTTCAGTAATAACCATCTTTGCTTATGTGCAGGGGAAAGGTGTGCGTGTGCAGACGTACGAAGGAAGTTGCCTGTGGACTGATATGCCAAGGGGTTCTCAGGACCTGAAGCCCTTATGACACATCTGCACACACGCAGAACTATGGGGAGGGGGGATGCAGATGTCATTCTTGCCTAGGTAAGAATTGCGGAAGTGATGCTCAGCAGCACAATAAATTATAAAAAAATATCCAATTAGAAGAGGGGAGAGGGGGAGGAGCAGGGCAAGATAAGATTAGGTTTAGGGTGAAGCTTCATTTTAAATTGCCGAATTAATAGGCAAGCAAGGTGTGACGGAAGCATAGGCAGGACAGAACACACAAAGAAGATGGTAAACACACAACGCTTTATTGAACTATGCAAGGCACTCAATCAGGGTAGGAAGGTAGCATCCAGGTACCCAAAAAGGGAAAGAGCCCAAAATAATTGTAATCCGGCCCACGATAGGGCAATCTAGGTAGTGATGGCCTGAGCACTCGGGGGGGGGGGGGGGGGGGGGGGGGGGGGGGCAGTCCAGGTAGCTACGATACTCCAGACACACAATAGGCAGTCCAAGCAAGTATTAATCCCAGCGCACAATAGGGGCAGTTCAGGCAGCACTGATCCGGGCATTCAATGGGGCTATTCAGGTAGCAATAATCTGGGCCCTCAATGTGGCAGTTCAGGTAAGGGTAAATCTGGGCACACAATAGGGGCAGTTCAGGGCACTCCGCAACATGCAGCTTGTAGGGACACTCTCGGTAGGCGGCTTGCAGACACTCAG